CAGGAGGCGGCCTGGTGAGGTGTCTGTCGGACGACGAGGAGGACGCGGATGCAGGGAAGGCGAGAAAGGCGGAGGGGCACGTGAGGGGTGCAGAGAGCGAGCAGCACAGCGCTGCCGGCGGAGCGAGGCAGAAGGCGGCGAATGGGATCTCAGGCAGGAAAGGCGGCTCGCTGGCGCGGAGCATGACGGAGGATGAGAATGACGATGCGCATGCGGGCGCGGTGCGGGCGCATGGCGGCGGGGAGAGAGAAGGCGGACGGGGCGTGCAGTTGAGGGAGCAGCCGACAGGGAAGGCGCGCGGGGAGGGGGCGAGCTCAAAGGGGCGGGCGAGAGGGGAGGTGGAAAGTGGAGAAGGCGTGGCGGCGGGGAAGGCAGGAGGCGGCCTGGTGAGGTGTCTGTCGGACGACGAGGAGGACGCGGATGCAGGGAAGGCGAGAAAGGCGGAGGGGCACGTGAGGGGTGCAGAGAGCGAGCAGCACAGCGCTGCTGGCGGAGCGAGGCAGAAGGCGGCGAATGGGATCTCAGGCAGGAAAGGCGGCTCGCTGGCGCGGAGCATGACGGAGGATGAGAATGACGATGCGCATGCGGGCGCGGTGCGGGCGCATGGCGGCGGGGAGAGAGAAGGCGGACGGGGCGTGCAGTTGAGGGAGCAGCCGACAGGGAAGGCGCGCGGGGAGGGGGCGAGCTCAAAGGGGCGGGCGAGAGGGGAGGTGGAAAGTGGAGAAGGCATGGCGGCGGGGAAGGCAGGAGGCGGCCTGGTGAGGTGTCTGTCGGACGACGAGGAGGACGCGGATGCAGGGAAGGCGAGAAAGACGGAGGGGCACGTGAGGGGTGCAGAGAGCGAACAGCACAGCGCTGCTGGCGGAGCGAGGCAGAAGGCGGCGATTGGCAAGTCAAGCAGGAAAGGCAGCTCACTTGTGCGGAGCATGACCGAGGATGGAGATGACGATGCGGATGCAGGCGCGGGGCTGGGACATGGTGACGGGGAGAGTAAAAGCGGACGTGAGTGTGCGGGGCGGCAGGTGCAGGTGAGGGAGCAGCGGAAAGGGAAGGCGCGGGGGGAGGGGGCGAGCCCAAAGGGGCGGGCGAGAGGGGAGAGAGAAAGTGGAGAGGGCGTGGCGCGCAGGAAAGCAGTGAGTGGGGCAGAGGAAGTCCGTGGGGACAAGGTGCACGCGGTGGGGAAGGCAGGGGGCAGCCTGATGAGGTGCCTGTCGGACGATGAGGAGGACGCGGGTGCGGGGAAGGGGGCAAATGCCGAGGGGCACGTGACGGGTTGCTGAGAGCGAGCAGCACAGCGTTGCTGGCAGAGCGAAGCAGAAGGCGGCAATTGGGAACTCAGGAAGACAAGGCGGTTCGCTGGTGTGTACCATGAGTGATGATGAGGATGCCAACGCTGATACGGGCGCGGCACAGGGGCATGGTGGCGGGGAGAGTGAAGGCGGGCGTGAGGGTGGGGGGCAGGGCGTGCAGGTGGGGGAGCAGCGGAAAGGGGAGGCTTGCGGGGAGAGGGAGAGCATAACCAGGCAGGTGATAGGGAGAGCATAACCCTAAACCCTCTTCTCCCTGTTCCCACTCTTCTCCCCATCCTCCCTCTCCTCCCAATCCTTCTTCTCCTCCCCATTCCACCTCTCCTCCCCATCCCGCACCAGGCCGCGACGGCGGGCGCGGGGGCGGCAGCGCCAGGAGGCGGTGAGGGGGCGGCGGGGGGCAGCCCGGCGGGGGCGGGGCTGGCGGAGCGGGTGGTGGCGTTTCAGCGCGCGTTCTGGAAATTCCTCCGCCCGCACACCATCCGCGGCACCGTGCTCGGCACCTCGTGAGCGCGCGGGCGGGAAAGGAAGGGGGAAGGGTTGGCTGGTGAGAAGGGGGGGGGGAGGGTTGGAGGGGGTGATGGGGGGTGGGGAATGGGGGGATGGGGTGGGGAGGGCCTGGGCAGGGAGGAGATAGGGAAGCGGCAAAGCGGAGAGCACGCGCGGAGCTGGCTGGAGAGGGCTGGGAATGAATGAGAGCTGGGTGCAGAGCGGTGGGCGAGTGAGGGGGCGGGGTACGGGCACGTGGCATTGCGAAGAGGCAGAAGGTCAGGCGAGAAGGTCACTCACCTCTTCTCCTCGCCCCCTTACGAACAACAACCCCCCACCACCCCACCCCCCCTCTCTTCCCCCCTCCCTCCTCCTCCTCCCCCCCCTCCCCCCCCTCAGCGCGGTGGTGGCGCGCGCGCTGCTGGAGAGCCCGCAGGCGATCGACTGGGGGCTCATGCGCGCCCAACAACCCCTTTCCGCCTTTCCCCCCCCATCCCCAACAACCCCCCCCACCCTCCCCAGCGCGGTGGTGGCGCGTGCGCTGCTGGAGAGCCCACAGGCGATCGACTGGGGGCTGATGCCGCGCGCGCTGAGAGGGCTGCTGGCGCTGCTGTGCGGTAACGGGTACATCGTGGGCATCAACCAGATCTATGACACCGACATTGACAGGTGTGTGCTGGCATTGACAGGTAGGTCAATGGAGTCAACGCTAGTCAACGGTGCGGGCATCAACCACATCTACGACACTGACATTGACAGGTGCGTGCTGGCAGTGATAGGTAGGTCAATGGAGTCAACGCTGGTCAACGGGTACATTGTGGGCATCAACCGGATCTACGACACTGACATTGACAGGTGTTTGCTGGCAGTGACAGGTAGGTCAATGGAGTCAACGCTGGTGCCAGGCGGGATGAGGGGCGAGTGGCAGGAAGGCAGAGGTCCATGCAGGCATGAGGGGTTCAGAGGCAAGCTCCGTGCCCCCTGCCTTCATGAGAGGGGGAACAAGTCATTCCTCCTCCCCGTGCCAGCAGGCGAGCTGTCCCCCAGCACTCCTCATACCCCGCCCTTTCCCCTTACTCTTCCCCCTTCCCGCCCTCACCCCTCAGTTTGAACCAGCCCTTCCTCCCAGTGGCAGCAGGCGAGCTCTCCCCCAACCTTGCCGCACACTCCTTCCTTTCCCCTTCCCCTTCCCCTTTCCCTTTCCTTTCTCCCTCCCTCCTCTCCTCCCCCCATTGTCCCTCCCCCACCCTTCAGGGTGAACAAACCGTTCCTCCCAGTGGCAGCAGGCGAGCTTTCCCCCACGCTCGCCGCGCTCCTCTGCCTGCTGCTCTCAGCTGGTGGCCTGGCGATCGTAGTGCTCAATTTCGGCCGCCTCATCACGGGGCTCTACACTCTGGGGCTGCTGCTTGGGACGGTCTACTCTACTCCCTCCTTTCCCCTTGCTCTTCCCCATTCCCCCTTCCCCCTTCCTCCTTCCCCTTCCCCCATTGTCCCTCCCCCACCCTTCAGGGTGAACAAACCGTTCCTCCCAGTGGCAGCAGGCGAGCTCTCCCCCACGCTCGCCGCGCTCCTCTGCCTGCTGCTCTCAGCAGGCGGCCTGGCAATAGTAGCGCTCAACTTTGGGCGGCTGATAACGGGGCTGTACGCGCTGGGGCTGCTGCTGGGGACCGTCTACTCGGTGCCGCCGCTGCGCCTCAAGCAATACCCGCTGCCCGCCTTCCTCATCATCGCCACAGTGAGCCTACCACCCACCCAATTCCTTTCCCCCAAACCACCCCCAACCTTGTTTTAACTCTCCCTCACCTTCCACCCACCCTTCCCCCCACCTCTCCCCCACCTTCCCCCCACCTCTCCCTCACCTTTCCCCCACCTCTCCCTCACCTTCCCCCCACCTCTCCCTCACCTTCCCCCCACCTCTCCCTCACCTTCCCCCCACCTCTCCCCCTCGTTCCTCCACGCGCTGCCCCCAGGTGCGCGGGTTCCTGCTCAACTTCGGCGTGTACTATGCCACGCGCGCTGCACTCGGCCTGCCCTTCGCCTGGAGGTGCGTCAGCAGCATGGGTGGGGGGGGGGGGGAGGGGAGGGGGAGGGTAGGGGGGAGAGGGGAGGGGTGAATGGTGGTGGGGTTGGCCGTTGGAGGGGAAATGGGGTGGGGTGGGGCTGCTTTGAGCTCGCTGTGATGCGGAGTGGCACACAGCACAGCCATTGAATTCAACCCTGCCCTGCCCTTGCCTTCCCTTCCCACCGCCCTGCCTCCCACACGCCATGCTCCGTGCGTGCACTGTGTGCATGTGCCGCCCACTGCCCATCCATCGTGTTCCTCATGGGCTCTCACTCACCTCTCCGTCCCCTTCCACCGCCCTGCCTGCCTGCCTGCCCACCCGCCGCCCACAGCCCATCGATAGTGTTCATAACGTGCTTCGTGACGCTGTTCGCCACCGTCATCGCCATCACCAAGGACCTGCCTGACATCGAGGGCGACAGGCAGTGAGTATGCCTTTTGTGTGTGTGTGTGTGTGTGTGTGTGTGTGTGTGTGTGTGTGTGTGTGTGAGTGTGTGTGAGTGTTTGTACCTTTTCCGGGCTCAAATCCTGTTGCATGGTTCCCTGTGTTCTCGGAAGCTTGTACCATCAATCTGCATGTCTCATGCCTGTACATCCATCGCACACCCGCACCCTCTGCTTGCCCCCCTGTGCCGCGCATGGCAGGTTCAAGATAGAGACGTTTGCCACGCGACTGGGGGTGCGCAACATCGCCTTCCTGGGCTCAGGGCTGTTGCTCGCCAATTACTGTGGCGCCGTCGCTGCCGCCCTGCTACTGCCACATGTGAGCACCACTGGTCACTGCCATGCCTGGGTGTTGCTGGGTGTGGCTGGGTGTGGCTGGGTGTGACTGGGTGTGGCTGGGCATGGCTGGGCGTGCCTGGGGGCCCTTGATACCAGGACTGGCCGTGCGTTGGTGTGGTTTGGTCTCTTGGTCTCTTGGCAAGAGAGAGGCATCCCATTGCTGGTCACTTGTGAGACGTCTCAAAAGGCGTGCCTGGGGGCCCTTGATACCAGGACTGGCCGTGCGCTGGTATGGTTTGGTCTCTTGGTCTCTTGGCAAGAGAGAGGCATCCCTTTGCTGGTCACTTGTCTCCTGCGGGGACTCTATCATGCTCCCTCTGCCCCCTGCCCCCCTCCCTCCCTCCCTGTGCCCCCACCAGGCGTTTCGCCAGGCTGTCATGATTCCCGCCCACCTGCTCCTCGCTGCTGCTCTCGTCTACCAGGTGAGGTGGCCTGTGCCATGTATGCCATATGCCATGCACCATGCACCATGCTCCGTGCACCATGCTCCATACACCATGCATGCACCATACTGCATGCACCGTGCTCCATGTGCCATGTGCTCTGCTCTCTGCTCCACCCGTATCTGCTGTGTGTGCTCCATTGCTCCTGGTGATGTGATCAAACACACTGTTTTTCCACTCTCTCTGATTCGCTGCTACATTTCAATGTGCTGCTCGTTCTGCCTCTTGTGCCCATTGCTGCAGACATGGAAATTGGACGCAGCAGCCTACACCAAGGTGAGTACCACTCACACTCATCTCATTGTGTTGTTGCACTGCTTTCAGTTTCAGCACTTGTTATTCTCCCAGCCGTCATCGCTGTTGACTCTGCTGCAATCACTGCATTCCCTTGTCTTCAACCGCACACCCCTCTTTGTGCCCCTCTCCCTGCCCAATGTCACTCACCTCCAGGATGCCATTGCATGCTTCTACCAGTTCATTTGGAACCTCTTCTATCTCGAATACTGCTTGCTGCCAATCATCTAGTGCACACGTAACCAATCCAACTTAGGAAGCCCCGCCCCAGCTTCCTTCTGACGTCTTATCAATCCCTCAAGCGTGGTCCCTGGTTAGTGTAGTCGTCCAGGAAGGAAGGCATAGAGAATGAAATAAATAGTTAATGGCATGTTGTTAATTATTTTGTTTAGATCTGCGCTGGATTCTAGTGAAATCATGTTCTCGAATCTGCCCTAGTGCCCTACAGTTGGCGATAGTTATTGGGTGACGGTGATTATCAGGAATAGGTCGTCTCAAGAATGGAAATCACCCAACAGAAAGGGGAATGAAGCAAACCACTCTGCTGTCAGGGCGTGAGTGATCCACGATTGGCTCGCGACAGAATCCATGCTGAGTCGTTTCCATCACTCAGCGAAGCTTTAGAATCTCGTCGTCTAATCGCTTCGCCGTTTACAACACTGGCGAACGACTGGACTGGACTGGCCTTTCGCCAGCGGCTTTTCCAAGCAGTGTCGCATCCCACCCAAGGCCGTCCCCAAGGGTACTGTTTCTGACAACTGTCAGCCTCAGGAACAGCTCCTGTACTGGCATGTCATCCAAACCTAGCTCCTGCATCCCTAGCCTAGACCGGACTTAGTGGAGAAACTGTGGGCCAAGAGTACATAGTGGGTGATTAAAGACAGACAAGAAAGGGCCAGCATTCCATTCCGTAGTTCGTTCTGCTGTGTGTGTGTGCATGAATGTGTGTGTGTGCATGAATGCGTGTGTGTGCATGAATGTGTGTGTGAGCATGAATGCGTGTGTGTGCATGAATGCGTGTGTGAGCATGAATGCGTATGTGTGCATGAATGCGTGTGTGTGCATGAATGCGTGTGTGTGCATGAATGCGTGTGTGAGCATGAATGCGTGTGTGTGCATGAATGCGTGTGTGTGCATGAATGCGTGTGTGAGCATGAATGCGTATGTGTGCATGAATGTGTGTGTGTGCATGAATGCGTGTGTGTGCATGAATGCGTGTGTGTGCATGAATGTGTGTGTGTGCATGAATGCGTGTGTGTGCATGAATGTGTGTGTGAGCATGAATGCGTGTGTGTGCATGAATGCGTGTGTGTGCATGAATGTGTGTGTGTGCATGAATGCGTGTGTGTGCATGAATGCGTGTGTGTGCATGAATGCGTGTGTGTGCATGAATGCGTGTGTGTGCATGAATGCGTGTGTGAGCATGAATGCGTGTGTGTGCATGAATGCGTGTGTGTGCATGAATGCGTGTGTGAGCATGAATGCGTGTGTGTGCATGAATGCGTGTGTGTGCATGAATGCGTGTGTGAGCATGAATGCGTATGTGTGCATGAATGTGTTTGTGTGCATGAATGCGTGTGTGTGCATGAATGCGTGTGTGTGCATGAATGTGTGTGTGTGCATGAATGCGTGTGTGTGCATGAATGTGTGTGTGAGCATGAATGCGTGTGTGTGCATGAATGTGTGTGTGTGCATGAATGCGTGTGTGTGCATGAATGCGTGTGTGAGCATGAATGTGTGTGTGTGCATGAATGCTTGTGTGTGCATGAATGCGTGTGTGTGCATGAATGCGTGTGTGTGCATGAATGCGTGTGTGTGGATGAATGCGTGTGTGTGCATGAATGCGTGTGTGTGCATGAATGCGTGTGTGTGCATGAATGCGTGTGTGTGCATGAATGCGTGTGTGTGCATGAATGCGTGTGTGTGCATGAATGCGTGTGTGAGCATGAATGCGTGTGTGTGCATGAATGCGTGTGTGAGCATGAATGCGTATGTGTGCATGAATGTGTGTGTGTGCATGAATGCGTGTGTGTGCATGAATGCGTGTGTGTGCATGAATGTGTGTGTGTGCATGAATGCGTGTGTGTGCATGAATGTGTGTGTGAGCATGAATGCGTGTGTGTGCATGAATGCGTGTGTGTGCATGAATGTGTGTGTGTACATGAATGCGTGTGTGTGCATGAATGCGTGTGTGTGCATGAATGCGTGTGTGTGCATGAATGCGTGTGTGTGCATGAATGCGTGTGTGAGCATGAATGCGTGTGTGTGCATGAATGCGTGTGTGTGCATGAATGCGTGTGTGTGCATGAATGCGTGTGTGTGCATGAATGCGTGTGTGTGCATGAATGCGTGTGTGTGCATGAATGCGTGTGTGTGCATGAATGCGTGTGTGAGCATGAATGTGTGTGTGTGCATGAATGCGTGTGTGTGCATGAATGCGTGTGTGTGCATGAATGCGTGTGTGAGCATGAATGTGTGTGTGTGCATGAATGCGTGTGTGTGCATGAATGCGTGTGTGAGCATGAATGCGTGTGTGTGCATGAATGCGTGTGTGTGCATGAATGCGTGTGTGTGCATGAATGCGTGTGTGAGCATGAATGCGTGTGTGTGCATGAATGCGTGTGTGTGCATGAATGCGTGTGTGTGCATGAATGTGTGTGTGTGCATGAATGCGTGTGTGTGCATGAATGCGTGTGTGTGCATGCATGCGGGTGTGTGTGTGCACGCATGTCCATGTGTGCGTGTGTGGGTGTGCATGAATGCGTGTGTGTGCATGCATGCGGGTGTGTGTGTGCACGCATGTCCATGTGTGCGTGTGTGGGTGTGCATGGGTGCATGGTGTGCATGATCAGGATCTGACGGTGGAGAACGTGGCAAACGTGTATGAGCTGGCGGAGACGTACCATGCGCACTCGCTGCGGCAGATGTGTGTGCTCTTCGTGGTGGACCACCACGATACATCAGGGTTCTACTAGTAAAAAAGCTGAAACTATTATAAAGTCTTGATTTAAAATTCAGGAGTACAGTAGCTTCCTAGAAAATAGCAGCTGCTCTTATCTAATAGGAGTCATGCATGTATCAGCATCGGAATCAGACTCATCATCACTCCCCTGCGCCTTTGGTTCTTCCCACTCCTCAAGTGCCTCCTTTCCCCTGCCACTTCCCTCCCCCTCTCTTGCTGGAGGTGCTGCCACATTGCCAAAGGGCCGGCGCTTCTTGTAGCTGCGCCAGATTTTCACCAGTTCGTTGTAGTCAGGCTCGTAGTCGAGGAGCGACATCGTGACGAGATCTTCAAGCCGAGCGTCTTTGAGGCTCCCACGTTGCCACGATTTGATGATATTCTGGCGGGAAAACCCGCGCTCACATTCCACTGTGCTCAGCGGCAGCACTGCGACAGCCACCCATAGACGCACGAGGTTGGGGTAGCTAGTCGTCCAATTGCTTGTCTTCAGCATTGCTGTTAGCCCGGCGTGGAAGCTTCGCTCGTTATTCGGGGCACCTGCGAGGATAGGGCAGAAGGCACGCAGTTCTTTCATCGCCCGCAGTTTGTCGATCCCTGCCACACAAAACAGAAGGGAGATTGTCAGTTAGATTGGGTGGCTTGGCATGGTATACCCGTGTATGCATGGCACTGATAAAACATAGGAACAAAGAGAATCATGGACAACAAGGGTGCACAAAATGCGAGTACCTGGAAGGATGTGGTCAGTCTCCTGTGCCCTGAACAGCGAGACGAGTGATATGAGCCAATCGACACAATGTTTTGTCAGAATCGTGAAGAAAGGAATGGTTGAACTAGAAAGCAGGTGGGTACAAGTAGGAAACCTAAAAGTGTTGTACCCTATATGAACTACCCCACTACAGCCTAAACAGACTATAGCATATAAGTTTGACACACCCCCATAGGCAAAGTGGGGGAGAACAAAAGGTCACAAGACCAGTCAAGAAAGGCAAAGCAAGCTCAGGGTGGATCACAAAGTCACCACACATTCTGAGCACAAGCAAACGGCCACAAGGCCAGTTCACATGCAGAGTTATATAAAGGAGAACAAGCAATACAGTGATCACAACCTAGCAAGTGTAAGCATGCAGGTATATGTATAGAGATCACAGTACAAGCAGAGTCAAGAAGTAAGCAAGTGAGGCACAGTAGGTACAAGGCCTAGAACAGAACAGAAACGCTGATGATCACAAGGCTGAAGTGCCTTGGTGAAAACATCAGCAGTGTTGGCCCGAGAGGCCACGTAAGCAAGACGAAGCTGACCACGCTGCTGCAACTCTCGAGCAAGGAAGTAGCGCAGAGCAATGTGCTTCGTTCTGTGCTCCAGTCTGTGCTCCTGACACAAGGCAAGCATTGCCTTGTTGTCGACGTATAGAACTGGAGGAGAACGAGGCGCCTCTCCCAAGTCGGTCAGCAGCTAGGTGAGCCAGCGTAGCTCCTTTGCAGCCATGGCCCCAGCGTAGATCTCAGCCTCACAACTGGAGCTGAGAACAGAATATGAGCGGGTAGACCGCCAGGAGACAGAACCGGAGCCAAGGCTGAAGGTGTAACCCTGTGACGACCGCTGCGTAGCCAAGTCGTCAACCCAAGAAGCGTCTGCGTGACCAGTGAGGACAACTCGAGCCCGTCCTCCAAGCACGAGCCCCATGCCTGACGTACTGCACAAGTAGCGCAACACCCTCTTCGCAGCATCCCAGTGCACCTTTCGGTGCCTGCCGGGAGCCACGTAGCGAGCCAGAAGGCTGAGAGGGTATGCGAGGTCAGGTCGTGTGCAACACATCAGGTACATGAGGCAGCCCACAAGCTCTGGATACGGGCCACTCGGCTCTACGGACTCGTCCGAAGGTGGAGCTGAGAGCGAGTGACCGGTAGGCAGAGGAGTGGACTGTGGCAAGGAGTACGTGAAGCCGAAGCGCTGAAGGACCTGCTGCACCATGTGTGACTGAGTCAAGGTAATGGTGCGCCGTGCTCTGTCCCGGGTGATCCGCAAGCCAAGATAGCTTGTCAGTTCACCCAGGTCTGTGCACGTGTGTCTCTTCTGCAGCTCCGACTTCATGTGGGCGAGTGCCTCAGTGTCAGCAGTAGCAAAGACCAAGTCGTCTACGTACACAAGAACGTAGAACGGCGGCAGAGTGGCGTCGGTGCGTAGAAACAGCGACGGGTCAGCAGTGGAAGGGGCAAAACCAAGAGCAGCAAGAGTCGTCCTCAGTGTGTCGTGCCACTCACGGGG